ACCAGACTCATCAAGATATTCTCAGTGAAAACTATCTGGACTTTGAAGGCAACAGATCCGGGTATGAATCTTAGCTATTGCTAACTTTGTTATCTAAGTCTACTTCATCCTCTGTAAATAGGGATATTGCTACGTATTTTATGAGAATACAGCAAGCCTTAAATAATAGACACCTAAATAAACATGTAACTATAAACTGTGTAACTGTTACAAAGTAAAAATATCAGTGCTATGAGAAGGAACTAGCTGATACCGTTTGGCTCTGTCCCCACGCAAATCTCATCTTGAATTGCAGTTCCCATAATGCCCACATGTGGTGGGAGGATCACGGTGGGAAGTAATTCAATCATGAGGGTGGTTCCCCCCATGCTATTCTTGTGACAGTAAGTTCTCATGAGAGCTGATGGTTTGATAGGGGCTTCCCCTTTCACTTGGCTCTTACTCTCCTCTCTCCTGCCGCCTTGTGAAGAAGGACATGTTTGCTTCCACTCTGCCATGGTTATAAGTTTCTTGAGGTCTCTCCAGCCCTTTGAAACTGTGAGTCAATTAAACCTCTTTCCTTTATAAATTACCCAGTCTCAGGTACATCCTTATAGAAGCATGAGAATGGGACAGATAAACTAGCCATCAAAAGAACAGGGGAAAAATATTCTAAGAAAGAAAAGAACGAGCAGAGAATTAGGAAATAATCTGGTACAGCCAAGGGTCTGAAAAACGGCCTGTATGGTTAGAACTTAAGGAGCAAAAGAAAGAGTGGAAGGCATGAAGTAAAATCATATGTGCTGTGCTGTGTACAATTACAAAGAAACTTGCAGGCCTATTAAAGTATTTGGGTTTTATTAAGAGTAAAATGGATATTGTTTTAAATGGGGAATAATTCAACCCAATTTTTGTATTTAAAATGATCCTTTTGGCTGAGGAATAGGGAATGTATTGGAGAAAATTAAGAAAGAAGTGAGGAGACATGTTAGAGGATTTTACAGTAATTCAGGTAAGGGATGATGGTGGCTCTGGCTAGGCTAGTGGCTGTGACTGAGAGGTTGTGAATGGGGAGGTAGTCAAGTATGATTCCTGAGCTTCTGGTTTAAGCACGAATGGAGGTGCCATTTATTGAGCTAGTAAAAAAAAGTTAAATTTCATAAACGTTAAATTTGAAACACATTGAGAAATACAGCTAAAGAAATCAAATAGGACATATAAGTGTGGTCTTCAGGAGATGTCCGGAAATAAGACACACATGTGAGAGTAATCAACATAAGAGTAACCCTTGAAACATAGATGTATCTATTAAATAGTTGCTATTTAAATAATCAAAGAATGCAAATTCTCCTTGATACAAAAATGGCTTCATCTATACTAGAATAGATGAAAGTATTGGATACAACTAAATAAAAAGAGTACCATCTAGAAAGGCTCATACAAAAGAAAAGTGGAGAAATCACAAAAAGAAGCAAAAAAGAATGATGAAGGAAAGATCAAACAATACAAGCACAGTAAAAGATAGTGAGAGGGAAACTCCTGGGCCCATTCAATAACTAACCTAGGATAAGAGTAGCCCACCCTTGCTAACTATCAGTGGAAAGTGTATCTAGTGCATATAGGGGTAAATTAAACTTAAGAGCCACTAACTATAAAAATGGTAAAAATGAATGATTTTTTTTTTTTTGGACAGGGTCTCCCTCTGCTGCCCAGGCTGGACTGCAGTGGTACGAACACGGCTTACTGCAGCCCCAACCTCCTGGGCTCAAGTGATCCTCCTGCATCAGCTTCCTGTGTAGCTGCGACCACATGCATGTGCCACCACGCCTGGCTAATTTTTGATTTTTTTGTAGAGATGGAGTCTCACTTTGTTGTCTAGGCTAGTGTTGAAGTCCTGAACTCAAGCAGTTCTCCTGCCTCAGCCTCCCAAAGTGCTGGGATTACAAGTGAATTAACTATTTTTGTTCTGTACTATGCTCACTAAGCATTACAGTAGTTTATCCTATCAACCAATTTTCCCTCCTGTATCATGACTTGGTATTTTTGCCTGGGTCCGAAAAAAATTCTTTCTTAATAAACATTAACAAGAATGTCTGAGTTTTGGCCATTCGGAGTCAATTTTCCCTATATTACGCTGTACCCTTTTAATACAAAGATTATTTCTTTTTATTTCAAGAAAGTTTTCTTGAATGCATTGAATTATAATTTAAGACATTTATTCTCTTCCTTAAAATTATTCTTCAGAAAGTCTAATTATGTATATATTGTAAAAATAATTACCTTCCATTGCTAACATTTTCTTTTAATCTTTTCGGATTTTCTTGGTTTCATTTTGTCTACTTTTTCTATTGTATCTTCTATGTCTCCTGGTTTTCTGCAGTGACTCTGTGTTTGTGGTCTAATTTCACTAATTTGGTTGCTTTCTTCTCTCCTGGGTTCTGCCAGCTCAAAGTTAATTTCTTTTGGTTATTGAGTCATCTTTTCCTATAGTTCTTACATTTCTACTTTGTGGTCTTCTTTCAAAGTGAATGCATACATTGCAAAACATTAAGGTTAAATTTTAATCTGATTTGTGTTAATGTTTTTGTGTTGTATGTGCGTGTAGCTAATCTGTTACTAAGCTTTGATGCTTTTCCCCACCTCTTCTTCTTATCTTTGTATGAATGTGAGGCTACTTTTAAATTACTTATTACTGGGGCTGGAGGTGGTGGCTTACACCTGCAATCCCAGCACTTTGGGAGGCCGAGGCGGGCGGACCACCTAAGGCTCAGGAGACCAGTCTGGCCAACATGGCAAAACCCCGTTGCTATTAAAAATATAAAAATAAGCTGGGCGTGGTGGCAGGTGCCTGTAATCTCACCTACAACGGAGGCGGAGGTTACAGTGAGCTGAGATTGTACCACTGTACTCCAGCCTGGGCAAGAGAGTGAAACTCCGTCTCAAAAAAAAAAAAAAAAGTACTTATTACTTTGCTACTTTGCTAGAGTGGCTATTTCAGAGTCTACGGGCACAGGAAAGATGGAGGCACAGGATATTTTTAGAGGTTTTAAAACCCAAATACTGTCACATTATCTGATCCTACAGAGGCAAGCTGCTTTATCCAAATATGGGTCCTCTGCTCTTCTAAACCAAACCACATCATGAGTGGCTTCTGCTCCAGCCTGCTCACCCTACTTCCCAAGACCTGCAATAAAAAAGGCTCCTGTTTTTATACCTCAAAAATGAGCCCCTCACCTTTAAGAGGTGCAATTTTATACCATATCCTAAATTTTTGACACTATGAAGCATTCTTAACATTCCATATTTTAACTCTTCCCCTCTTTCCTTGTGGCTTCTGCCAGATCTCAGCTGCTTAAGGAGTCTTTACCTCCACTTGGTTGTCCAGGTATTATACTGACCTTCTTAGTTTTAGTAAATATGAAGTGAAGTTGTGTGGGTAGGAGCATGTGTGTATGTTTTGTTTTTCTTACTGCTTTTGTGTGTTCTGTGTGTTTTGAGGTCAGGGAGCAGATATTAAGTTACCTGTAACCACACCTAAAAAGTTTGTATTCCTTATATAAATGACAGGCTGTCTATAATACTAAGGAACGAGTGACTGTAACTTGGCTTCCATATAGTGTACCTACAGGGTGGAATGTGTTGGCCAGAAGATAAAAGTACATGGGGTCCCACTGGCAGATTTGTTTCTCACAAAAATTAATGAATTGACCTTCTGACTTCATATGTTAGTCCCTATTGTCTGGTTAATGTGAATTAATATTCAGAATTTACTCCCAATTAAACAAATTTTCCCTTGTTTAGACAGAATCTCCTATACTTAAGAAAGACTAAGCAATGCTCAACATGCTACTGTGATCAGCTAAAAAACATACCAGATTAAAAAAACAAATTCTGCTTCAAAAAATAATAAATGTAATTAGTTGATAAATTATGGAATTATTCATTTAGCTCCTTTACTCACATCATTTTTTCCTTCTTCATGTTGTTTACGAGCATCAACAAATACACTATGTATTCTTTTGGCTATTTAAGCTTTTTAAATTCCACTGAGGTTTTACTGGGGTTGTGGTTATGCTGATGTACACTAGAGTCTTACATATGTGTAATACGGCATGACCTCAAATTTTCCATTACCACCTTCTTCCCCTAGGAACTTAGTAAGGTCACACCCATGATACTTTACCATCTAGACACACATTATACCCCAAACTTGGCATTCTTCTCTTTATTTTAAACAGCAGTAACAGCTATTAGAAATGTGTCTTAAATCTTGATATTAATAATTATAACCTAATTCAAAAACTAGAAAAAATCTGGGTGACCTGATTTTTTGGGCATTATTAGTATCTCTGCTTATGGTTTTTATTATTTTTTCAGATAAATAAAGTAGTAAAAGGAACATTAAAAGATAGGTCTTCAGTTACAGAACAGATTAAAAAAAATGAACAGTTAAATTAACCCACATAATGGGGTTATGTGGGTTAAGCTTGCGGATGCCAGTTCCTACATCATTAAAAAATACTTTTGGCAGGGCGCAGTGGCTCACGCCTCTAATCGCAGCACTTTGGGAGGCCGGGGCGGGTGGATCACCTGAGGTCAGGAGTTTGAGACCAGCCTGACCAACACGGAGAAACCCCGTCTCTACTAAAAATACAAAAAATTAGCTGGATGTGGTAGTGCATGCCTGTAATCCCAGCTACTTGGGAGGCTGAGGCAGGAGAATCACTTGAACCTGGGAGGTGGAGGTTGGGATGAGCTGAGATCACGCCATTGTACTCCAGCCTGGGCAACAAGAGTGGAACCCCATCTCAAAAACCAAAAAACCAAAAAAACCAAAAAAACAAACAACTTTTGATTTCGAAAAAGAACTAGGTTCAGACTAAACAAATACTAGATTAGCAAATCAGAAAAAAAACCAAAACAAAACACAAAAAAGGAAGCTTGGAAGTTAAACATTATTAAAGAGAAGAATTTTAAAAACTAAAATAAGCAATAACTACAGACAATAAGAATGTTATTACCTTCAGGTCGATATTGTGCAACAATTGTAACAGCTTGGCCAGCATTTTTCAATGCAGCTGCTGCCTGCTCATGACTAGCGGCTCTGAGGTCAACACTGTTCACCTGTAAATCAAACCAAATTTTAATTTGGGAGAAAAGAATCACTTTGATTAGAAATCACAACAGTCTATTCTTTGAGTAAGCATGTATTAAAAAATTAGTTGCAATAACTTGACCACTAAAATGTTTCCTGTTCTGATTGACTAAAAATATATTGTGTACTACAACAAAATATTATCATTCAAAGCTATTTTATTTACTAAAACCACTTTGCTTACTGTCAAATGAGTAAAACCGAAACATTTCCCCCCAGAAGGCTGAGTATCAATCCACTGAGAAATGCACCTTAATTTGAGAACCTGAAAAATCAAGTGGCATCATTTTGCATACTTTATTTTACTAGGAACTCAAGTAATGGGAGGGAAAGTCATTTTGTTTGTAGCATCCATTCACCTCCTGCCACATTCTCATGCCTACTGCTCAACTCAGTTCCAATTATTTTTCTTCCTGTACAAACTTTATTCCATTCTTTTGGTATAATAGGAAAGCTATTATTTAGAAATATTAAAACAGCTCAGATTTCAAGGACTGGTTTAATTAGAATAAATGTTAATTAAACGAACCAGGAGTCAGTTTTTGAATAAAGAGCCCTTCCTTAGGTGAAATAATTATCCAATTCTACCAGTAGGTGCAATCCTACTCCAGAAGAAGAGGCAACTTAATTCTTACTTCTGAAAGGTTGCCAATCCTTTGCGCGCATATATATACATAGTGCAAGGTACATTATCTTAAGAGATTGTTCCTTTTCCACAATAAGACAAGCTTAAGAGGACATTCATGGAAGCATTATACTTGAATGTAATAAGCTTTAAATACTGAATCAAAAAAAATTAAGAACCAACAATGAATAGAATACAGCAATGCTCAGGACCTTCACTGAAAATTTTTGGAAAGGAACGATCATCATGCAATTTTTACATAAAAACTTGTTTTGTTGAGTACTAATCTAAAATCTGTTAAAGATCACATATCACTTTTAAAAAATTTGACTATGAGCCCAGAAATTCTTGGGATCATAAATTTACATAAAGAATATTTTAACCATATAAAGATCTGATGTTTTATATTATCTAAAAAGAAACCATTATGCAACTAAATTTAAATACATACCCCTTGAGGCTGGGCATGGTGGCTCACACCTGTTATCTCAGCACTTTGGGAAGCTGAGGTGGGTAGTTCATTTGAGGCCAGGAGTTTCAGACCAGCCTGGCCAACATGGCAAACACCTGTCTCTACTAAAAATACAAAAATTAGCCGGCATGACGGTGTGTGCCTGTAGTCTCGGCTACTCAGGAGGCCGAGACACGAGAATCACTTGAACCTGGGAGGTGGAGGTTACAGTGAGCTGAGATCACACCACTGCACTCCAGCATGAGTGACAGAGAGAGACACTCTGTCTCAAACCACCACCTGCCACTCCCTCAACGAAAACCAAGATCTAAAAATCCTAATATAAACAAATGTAACAATGTGGTTATTAGTATCTCCAGCAGAGGATGGCCATATAAAACTCAACACAATTTATAATTAGTTCTACTTAGTGTATAAAGAAAATCTTCCTAATTCCTGGGAGAACAAGCCAGGCAAGAAATACAAAGAAAGATTTTCATAGATTATTGTAGAAAAGATTAAAAATGTTAATGAATTATTTCTGTGCACCAAACTCTTTTAAGAGCATAATTTGTTGAACGAAACTACATATTAAAGACTTTCCAGACTATCACTGAACGTTTCAATTGAAGATATATTATTAAGGATATTTTAGAATTCCAGTACTGAGAGATGTATTTGCTATGTATTTGTAAGGCTATGTATTTGTATAAATACCCTTAGAGTCACTTTTTTTCTTTTACACCAACTTTTTTAAAAATGGAGAAATAATTCACATACCATAGAATTCATTTTTAAAGCATATAGTTTAGTGGTTTTTAGTACATTTGCAAGGTTGTGCAACCAACATCACCACCTAATTTCAAAATATTTTCATCACCCCAAAAAGAACCTCTGTATCCACTGAGTCACTCCTGTGTCTCCTCTCCATCACTGGCAACTACGATTCTACTTTCTAACCATATGAATTCCCCTATTCTGTATATTTCAAATAAACGGGATGTATAATATGGAGCCACTTGTGCTTGGCTTCTTTCACTAACACATTTCCAAGGTTCATCTTTGGAGCATGTATCAGTGCTTCATTCCTTATTATGGCTAAATAATGCTCCACTAAAATCCATTAAAAATGGATTTACCACTTTGGCTTATCCACGTCCTTAAATTTATACTTCAATTTATTTATTTTATTCTTTTTGATACTATTATAAATGAATGTTTTCTCTATCCTGCAAATTTACTGACATCGTTTATCAGCTTGATATTCTGCTGTTGTATTTAAGATTTTTTTCTATACAAGATTATGTCATCTGCAAATAGAAATAGTTTTCTTGCTTTTTATTCTGATAGCCTTTTTAAAAAAAAATCTTGCCTAAATTCTAGAACCTCCAGGACAATGTTGAATCGAAGTAGGAAGAACAGATACCCTTGTCTTGTTCCTGATTTTAGAGGGAAAGCTTTCAGTCTCTCACCAGTTAGTATGATGTTAGCTACAGGGTTTCCAGAGATACCCTTTATCAGGTTGAAGTTCCCTTTTACTCCCAGTTTATTCAGTGTTTTTATCATGAAAAGCTGTTGGTTTATGACAACTGCTTTTCTGTGTCTACTGAGGTATCATGTGCTTTATGTCCTTGATTAAGATGGTGTCTTTTTGGTTTTTCTACGTTGAACTAACCATGCATTCCTTGAATAAATTCCATTTGGTTATGGTACATCATCCTTTTTCATGCTGTTTGGATCCAGGTTGTTATTTGGTTGATTTTTACATCTATATTCATATGGGATATTGATTTGCAGTTTTTTCTTCTCGTGATGTCTTTGGTTTGGTATAAGGATAATACTGGCCACACAGAATGAGCTGGAAAGCATTCCTCATTGCTTATTCCCTTTTGGGGAAGAGTTTGTGAATGATTGGTGTTAATTCTTTAAATGTTTGGCAGAATGAACCAGTGCAGCCATCTGGTCCTGGGATTTTTGTGTTTTTTAAGTTTTTGATTACTTATTCAATCTTCTTACTTGTTTTAAATCTATTAAAATTTTCTATTTCTTCTTGAGTTAGTTTCAATAGTTTATGTCTTTCTAGAAATATATTATAGAGTATATAACTATAAAATACATATCATCTATGACTATATAATGATATATATTATAAATGTCTTTTGCCTTTAGTAGTAATTTTTTTCTTAAAGTGTACTTTGATATTAGTATAGCCACAGTGGTGTCTTTTGGTTACTTTCTGTGTAATGTATCTTTTCCACCTGTTTACTTTAAACCTTGTGTCTTTCAGTCTAAAGTGTCTCTTGTAGACCTTGTATAGCTGGATTCTGTTATTTAACCTACTCTATCAACATCTTTGGCCTTTTAACTGGAGTGCTTAATCCATTTATATTTAATATAATTACTGATAATGTAGAATTTACTTAATTTGGTGATTTGTTCTATGTCTTTTCTTTCTCTATTCCTCAATTACTGCATTATTTTTATATTAGATATTTCCTAGTGTACCATTTTAATTCCCATGTCATTTATTTCTTAGTGGTTATCTTGGATTGTAAAGTAAATATTTAAAGTCAGAGGTGGTGGCTCCCGACTGCAATCCCAGTGACTCAGGTGGCTCAGGCAAGAGGACTGAAGCAGGAGCATTACTTGAGTACAACACTTTGAGGCCTGACTGGGCAACACAGAGAGACACTTATCTCTAAAAAAATAAAGAAAAGAAATTTAGCTGGGTGTAGTGGTGCACACCTGCAGCCCAGCTACTCGGGAGGCTGAGGCAGGCGGATTGCCCGAGTGAGTAAGCTTGAGGCTGCAGTGAGCTATGATTGTGCCACTGCACTCCAGCCTGGGTGACAGAGTGAGATGCTACCTCTAAAAATAAACAAGTAAACAAACAAACATTTTATGAGAACCTAGTTTATTTACCCCCTTGTGGTGGTGTCATATTAATTATATGTTTATACAATGTGTGCACATCAATTTGTAATTATTGCTTTACTCAGTTGTTTTAAAATCAGGTTGGAGAAAAAAAGAGTTGCATATAAAATAATACTCTTAGGTTGTTTTATATTTACCCATGGGGTTGCCTTTACTCATGCTCTTCATTTCTTCGTGTGGATTTGAGTTACTCTCTAGTTTCCTTTCATTTTAGTCTGAAGGATTCTCTTTATTATTTCCTATGGGGCAGGTTTTTGAGAGATGAACTCCTTCAGCTTTCGTTTATCTGGCAATGTCCTGATTTCTTCTTTGTTTCCAAAAGACAGTTTTGCTGGATATAAAGTTCTAGTCAACAAAGTTTTTTTCTTTTCAGAATTTTGAATATGTTATTTCACTGCTTTCTGACCTCCACGGTTTCTGATGAGAAATCAGCTATTAATCTTGTTGAGAATCCCTTGCATGTGATGAGTTATTTCTTTTTGCTGCTTTCAATATTCTGCCTTCGGCTTGAGACAGTTTGATTGTAATGTGTCTATGTTGTAGATCTCTTTAAATTAATTCAACTTGGAGTTCATTGAGGTTCTTGGATTAATGGTTTTAATCAAGTTTTAGAAGTTTTGGGTGAGTATTTATTCAAATATTCTTTCTTCCTTTTTCTCTCTTTCCCATCCTTCACACACTCCCATTATGTTGGTAAACTTGATAGTATCCCATAGGTCTCTGAAGCTGTTAATTTTTCTTCATTCTTTCTTTTTTTTGCTGTTGTTCAGTTCTTCAGCATCAAAATCTCAATCGACCCATCTTCAAGTTTGCTGATTCTTTCTTCTGCCAGCTCAAATCTGCTGTTGACCTTGTCTAGATAATTTTTCATTTAAGTTACTGTACTTTTCAACTCCAGAATTTCTATTTGGTTCTTATGTAAAATTTCTAACTCTTTACTGATATTTTTTACTTGGTAA